ATACCAAAAGACTGTTACTCCAGAGCACCTGCCACTCCATGTTTATTGGCACTATTCACAATAGCCAGTTATGGAACAGCAAGATGCCCAGCATGACGAATGGATTAAGAAATGTGGTATCTATACACATGGAATTTATGCAGCCATGAAGAAGACGAAATGTTATCATTCGTGTAATGGATGGAATTGGAGACATCATTCTGAGTGAGGTTAGCCTGGCCAAAGACCAAAAATCGTATGTTCTCCTCATATGTGGACATTAGATCAAGGGCAAACACAACAAGGGATTGGACTTGAGCACATGTAAAGCGAGAGCAACAAGGAGGGGTTGAGGATAGGTAAGACACCTAAAAATAGCTAGCATTTGTTGCCTTAACGCAGAGAACTAAAGCAGATACCTTAAAGCAACTGAGGCAATAGAAGGGGACAGGACTAGAGAAAAGTTAGATTAAAAAGAATTAACCTAGAGGTAACACCCACGCACAGGAAATCATGTGAGTCAATGCCCTGTTATAGCTATCCTTATCCTCAACCAGCAAACCTTGTTCCTTCCTATTATTGCTTATATCTCTCTACAACCATTAGAGATAAGGGAAAATAGTTTCTGCTGGGTGTGAGGGGGGGAGCGAGGAGGGGTGGAGTGGGTGTAGGGAGGGGTGGGCAGGGGGAGAAATAACCAAGCTTGTATGCACAGATGATAATAAAAGAAATGAAAAAAATAAAATAAAAAAAAAAAAAAAAAAAAAGAAAAGACAACATGACACAGTTCCCTACCCGACCACTTGTTGGTCTGGAGATGCTCCCTTTACAGTTAGAATAAAGCGTGAAACAGGTTTGGTAACTTGTCCAAGGTGACCTCACAAAAAAATGGCAGAACCCACTGTGAACCTCCCTTACAAAGCCTCCCCAGTGGGTCTTTTCTGTGGGGTTAGGGTTTTAGTAACCACTTGAAAGCACCTCTAAGAATGAGGACAGGAAAAGGGCTTGCCAGGGTCCTGTAGGCAGCCCCATTTATCTGTGGGGTTAGTAGCACTATCTGTGGATCTGTTTAGCTCTCATGCAGATGGTGGCATTTATGGGACTATTTACTAAGCCTGACTGAGTGCCTGCCTCTCTGCACTAGCACACACAGCAGCCAATCTCAGTTCATACATGGAACTGCAGCTTGATGCCAAGTCAAGGCTTCAGGAAACATGGACAAATCCCTTACTCAGAAAGGGGTGGAAACAGGAGAGCTCTCTGTTGTAGGATATATGAAGGAGGCTTTCTGACATTTCAGTCCATAAGTTTCTCACCAAAACAGCCTTTAAGGCTATACCATGTGAAGTCTCCTGGGATAAAGATGCTTTCCGATATCCGTTCTCTTGGCAAAATCCCATGATGGACAAAAGTTTGCAGCAAAGTTACTAATTCCATAGCAAACTGAGCAATCAATAGCTAATGTACCCAAGTTTTCATAACAAAGAGGGCAGGAGTGGGAGAGCCTGACTACTTATAATGCACTGCAACCCCACAAAACTAAGTTTAGTCAATAGCTTCATGATCCTCCTCCATTAGTTAAATCTATTTTAAAGAGCTCCCTGGCTAAGATTCAAGTGGATGGAGCTGAATTCAGTAACTGGCCCTTTCCATTTTCTGGTGGAGGAATAAACAAATGCTAGCACTGCCAGAAAACAGGCAAAGAAAGATGTACGGGGAAGGCAATGGCTCTAAAAGAGCTCAGTCCAGAGCTAACTGCAAATAGGTTCCCCAAAAGCCCAAGAATCATAGTGGCTGTCTAAATGAATCATACATCTGCTTTCCGTAATGGAACAAATACTTGTCACTTTATAGACATTAATTACCTTGCTCTCCAGTTTCAGTAAATAAATGAATATGAGTACTTTCTGGAGAACATCTAACAGCTCTCTTCTTGTCAGGGAGAGATTTCACTGATCAGCTTACCTTTGGACTTTCCACACATACATAGCCAAATAAATAGAAGAGCAGTCAAAGCCAATTTAACAGTACCAGCCAAGGCACTTCTGTTTGCTAAATAAAAATTTCATTAATCACTACATTGTTTTCCATTTAAAAAAATGTCTTGGTAACACTTGGACTTACTGGTCTGATGGTTCAGTTTGGGAATAATTTCACTGCACCATCCAAATTCTACAATTACTCTATGTTTCCATAATTGAATGTAGCTCACTAACACCAGCAATCTACTTACTCAATAAAGGGCCCAGAAGGAAGTGGAACACAATCACCTCTCTTCTACATCTACATGGACTAAAAGCTTCCAATCACCTCTTCTCCGCCCTTTGCCCCTGCACTAACTTGTGCCCTCATAGCTAAGTTCAACAAAAACTCTGAGCCAGAAGCCCCCTGACAATATGAATGAAGGTCACCTCTTCCATGGTTGCCCTACAGCAAAAAAAAAAAAAAAAAAGTACTTCAGCCTCATCCCAACATGTCCAGCACTAAAAGGAGCAAAGGAAGAGGCAAAGAAATACTGTAATTCAGCATGTGCAGAGCAAAGTAGCTATATCCCAAACCATCTGAGAAAGTAGAAGACGCCTCATGACTGTCTTACCTCACTAATGAAAGAAGCACAATGAAATGGGTTGAATTCACCCAGTAAGAAAAGGCAATTTCACCCCAATTTTTTTCATATGGTTACTTTTTGAGATAATTCAGGAAGGAGAGACACCGAGTAAGGAAGACAAAGAAGAGGCACCAAGGAGCACAAGACTCATGCATAGCAAACTAATAATTTCTCCATTTGGTCTTTGCAAAATAGAAAGCAAATAAAGGCAATTCAGGATTCTTTTAATTTTCTCATTACTACAGTTATGCCACTTCTGGCTAAATTCTTTAAGTTTGAAGCTTCTGCCTAAACAATGGCTCTCACAAACTCCAGCTATTGGTTATCCAGATCTGGAAGAAGCCAAAGAACCCCAATATCCTACCTAAACTTACAACTAAATTGTAGGTCTTAGAGTTACCACAGTTGAGGTGAGGGGGGAGTTCTAAAGTAATACGAGGCTCCTTGAAACACCATGTGGTTACCAAAGTAGTGAAGTTCCCCTGGTACTACAGAGTCAAAGAGCTGGAACCTTGGAGATAAAGCGAGCTCAGCTGCCTTCCTCAGAGATTAAAGAATGGAGATTGAGATTACTTAGATTCTTTCCCCCAATGCCAGCACTGAGGGTGAGTGAGACATCAGGTCTTCTCAAGATTTCCAGACCAATGTTCTTTTTCTGACACTATGGGATTGGCTTAGGGTTATTAAAAATGCTTAGTCATTGCTATTGGGCTTAAACTGTAGGAGGAGGAAGGACAGGGTGGTGGAAGAGTATCCTAGCATCTTTAAGAAATGCAAAGCCCCTTACAAGTATCTACATTCAACTGTATTTGGGCATCTTGTCTACCGTACAAGTGCAGTGCATGTCTGAGGGAATCACACCAACAGGGCAGTAAGTAGCATATGAAAAGAAATTAATGCGCTGTGGAAAAGAGAGTTAGGTTCCTCTCTAAATGTCCTTCACAACTTCACCTTTGTATATTCACCTGACTCAGGTCTGCTGAACAGATACCATTTGGGATGCTGAATCATAACCTAGAAGTAACTGCCAAAAATTCAAACAGAACCACAGAATAATATGCTATGTGAAATGTTTCACTGTAAACAAAGCCTCAAATTCTAATTATGTATATAATAAAATAAATGTTTGAAATTTTTCTTGTGAAGTATTTCCTCAGAGAGTCAGAGTTCAAACAAGTTAGTTCAATGAAAAAAATAATGAAACACTATAAGGTTTCACTATATTTAAGTGGTTTCAAATGCATCCCTTTTGGTTTTAAAAGAAAAATCTTACTGAATGTCTAAGGCAACTTCCAGGGTTTCAAGCAGGACTGACAAACTTCAGGACAAGCAGTTATGAGCCACAGCAACATTTGTTTCTAAGCTATGAAATGATTAGCTGGGGTCAGAGTTGCAGGCTCAGAAGGACAAAGCACTCCAGAGTAACCATACCACACATGGCCAGTTCAGTTGGTTTACCACATGACAATCTGGAGGCCTCACCAGAAGCCCCATAAATTCCACAATGGGAACACTCAATGCCTTTCCAAAAAAACAGAATCAACACATTTCAAAAGAACAAGGGAGTCAATGCACATTTTGACTTCTGTGTTTCTTACTCCAGACAGGGCCTGAAATAAAAAGAATGCAAGTGTGCTTGATCTCATGCGCTTCTATAGTTCCCCAAAGTGAACGTGGCCTGCCTCAGGAAGGCCACGTAACCAGGTGCCAACAGCCTCCAGACCCAGTCAATGCCTTCTGGCTCAGATCTCCTCAGCTTCTGTGACCAGGGAGGTCCTCCTTTTGTTATCCAGAGCTCCAGCCAAGGGAAACTCAACAGCAATCAAGATGGGGCAGGAAGATGGGCTACAAAACAAAGAGACCTTCCCAACAGTCACTCCAGCCCCAAGAATCTTTTATGCAATCAGTATAAACTGGAACATTTGCACAGGATCCAATTTCTGTAAACCTAATAATATTTTTAAACATGCTGGAGGAGGAGACTCCATGAAAGAGGTCTGTGTGGAATCTTTCTATAATGAGAAAATTATGCTGCTTTTCAAAAATCATTCTTGAATCATGTGCTTCAAAAATGCCTGTCTTCTGGGCTGGGGATGCATCACAGCAGTAGAGTGCTTACCCAACATATGCAAAGCCCTGCATCTGATCCCCAGTACCACACACACACACACACGTATACAAATACAAAAATGCCTGGTTTCTTACATTTAATACACACAGAGAGAAGGTATAGTGTATTTGTTTGTCTCAGGGCCAAGTTTAAAACCATTGTCTTAAATGGTCTTATTTATGATGATGCTTAATTCTTCAAAGGGCATACTCACATGCCTTGCTCTGGTCACAGTCAATGTCAGCTCATCAGTGACACTGAGCTGGAACGAGTAACTTATAAAATGTTTGCCAAGTGATTTACCTGAAACATTGGATAGGTCAAGAATGTCTCCAGCATCCTCCCCTCACAGGCAGGATTGGCCTCATACTGTTTTAGGAGTTTGTCAAAATCTCGGTTTTGCTTGCAGTTGGCAAGTACTTGGAGACTGTACTGATGATTACGCACAAATTCTTGATAAATGTTCAGCATGGGCAGCAAAATATCAAACAGATCAGCTGCAAAAGAGAAGTAAACATGGCTATTTCCCTTGGTGCTGGGTAAAATACACTCAACAGGAAGAACAAAAAGTGAATGCCAACACCACGTGACACACACACATGGGGTCCTAGTGCTCACACCTGGTGTTCCCTGGGGCTGAATGTAACTCCAGCCCCAAATGACTCATGATAGACCAGGGGAAAGAGTTGAAAGGTCACTTTTGAGGCAAAAGGCCCAAAAGTGCATTGAGACAGATTCCCAGTAGCTAAGGAAGGTCACAGGTCAGCAAGAGAAGTTCAGACAGCTAAGGATGAATAATGGAGAGGTTATTATATTCTAGCTCTGGACATCTTGAGAGAAAATCTTGTATCTTTAAAGAATGCACTCACCCAAAATCAAAGTAGGCCAGTTTGCTATCCTCGCCTTCAGTCCTTGATGAAATATTTCATGAAGAAACATGATTGTTTCACTACAAAAATAGAAAATAATACAATTTACTCACTGCAAAGGGTCTTGGTTGTCAATAAAATCTAGTAAGCGCTTAAAGCCTTACCATATATATGGTATACCAGTCTTGCCCAGCCTCCAAACTGTACATCAATAAATGCATGACTTCTACCAGTATTCATAAAGCAATTTCTCTTTTAGACAACGTCAAAAACCCAGGGAAAACTCTGAGATAAGCTTCAAACATTGGAAGATGGGAAGCATCAAATCACTGTCATATAAACCTCTTCATCATTGATAAGTGAGCTTTCTACTGATAGAATGCAGCACTTCAACTGATAATCAGAAAATTAAAGTTATGATCTTTTGTCTCTTCATATTCGATTCTAGAAAACTCAAGGAAAGCTCGCTCACTAAAATGAGTTTTGACAGGAGGAAGGGGAAAAATCCATAGCAAAAATTTTGACAGAGCTCTACTATAACTACTCGTATGACAGTCAAGACAGAAATGTGAAATTACCTTCAGAAAAGAGTGGAGCCTACATAGAGATACTAAAATAGAACTATGCATAAATTAGAGACCTAAGGTTCTAAAAGGGCCAGAAAGGGTAGTTACAGACTCAAAGTATATCTTCTTTCCCCTAATTAGATTAAGCCTTGAAGTCTTTCTGAACTAACATATTGGCACAACTAAATACAGAGTTATTTGTCCCAGGGAGACACCTTGGTTTGTTTTACCTTGTTTGTTGTTTCATAACAACAAACATCAAGTTCTTATCATTCCAAAGGGTTCATGAAATAAAACAGGTACTGCTTAAAGATTGTGATTTGTTTCTCTTTTATACAAATTTTAACTAAACAGTATATGTTGCTTACAGATTTCAACCAAATCTACTTTATAATTTAGTCTTCAATTTGCTTTCCAACCTTGTAGGCAGAGAATATGGCAAGCTAAAACTAGACTTTCCAGCTCCCTTGCAACCACACTCTGGATGTAAGTAAGGTTCCACCAGTGGATACACTTGGCAAGACATGGAAGGTAGAAGTAAAGGCTCTCCTCTTGTTGCTGAAAGTCAGTCATGGAGATGGATTTTCAGAGCAATTTTAGCACCCAATCTCAGCATTCTAATTTCTAGGAGCCAGTTTCATAGCTCTGAGAGGCAGTTGTGGTGGCTGGGGCAGTCATGTCACGTCTATGTAGATCTATGTGATCTAATAGATCACGTCTGTGATGCCATACCCTTAAGTTCAACACTCCAGAGGCAGTGCTACTCTTCCAGACCTTCTCTGCCCCACATTGGAAACACTAATTGATACATCTGAGGCACTTTCATATTTTGATCCATAGGTGGTTAGAAAGCAGATGAAACAATGCTGTATATAATTAGGTAGATTACATTTTCTTAAGTATAAATCCTGTATCAAAATTCAAAATAATTGAACTGCCTGATGCTTCAAAAGTCAAAGAAAAGAAAAGTAGTTCAACATCAATGATAACAAATACCCTGTAAGCCTCAGCTTTAAAAACATACCTCCTCAAATCTCCATCTAGGACTAAGTATGGGAAGCAATTGCTAGTCCGTATGAAGATCTTACAGCTTCACCTTCCAAAAACAGCCACAATATTTTGATGTTCATTTTAAAAATTATAATAAACTTGGCCTTTTATGCCTCAGATCAATCAATCCACTGGAGACTAACCACCAGTGATTTGCCTGATGATTTTAGGATTTACCTGAAAGCAACATGGCACATGCTCTGATGACATCACTACCAGAGAATGCAGTTCTCAGTCCCATCTGTGGCCTTTAGAGCTGTCAAAACTGTATAATTGGGTGCATGAGCATCACCAAAATGTTAACCATACTGCCTGAGGATCAAGAACACTCCTCAGGCCTCTGAGGATGTCCCCACATTGAGTGGAGCCATTGTCACCCATGGTGGAGAAATTTCCCATCTTCCTCTTGACAAAAATCTAGTTTTGAATTTCATGCTATCAAATACCATTGATTATCATTCTTTTTGCAGTCATCCACAAAGCCCAGTCGTTCTTTCTAATATTTGGAGATCTTAGCCACCTGCTCACTGTCAGTCCTTTCTCCATCACTACACTTGTCTTACTTCTTGGGGCACTATACACACAAACTACATTTCAATATCCTGGCCTCCTCGGCCTTCAAACATTTTCTTCAACCTCAGCAACACTCCCTCGATTGTATTCTATACCTTGTCAATATCAATACCTGTATCCTGTTCCTATGCCAGTTTCAAGCACACCATTCCCTGACTACCTCCTAATCTTTTCAATTGCTGTCTTTAGAACCCAGACTCCTAGTACACAGAACACAATACACAGCCAGTACCTAAATTTATAGATCTTATCTCTTTTCAGTGACCAAACCCTCTCATAGCATTCCCTTCACTACCTTTGAGCCTCATGGCTTATTACTGTGTCTCATCTCTCCATATACCTTCAACTCTTTTATTCTGTTCTCTCTTCATCAAAATAGCCTCACACAATACCAGTCCCAGTTAAATCCAACTCCCCACCCAATCTGCATTTGCACCTATTCACCTGAAAATTGCTTGCAGTCTTGACTATTGGCCTAATGAGCTCACATGGGTCACTGTTGCACTTCCTTAATCCACGTACTTCCTTGCTCTACGTGATCACTATTTCACATCTTTTCCTATCTCATCCAACTCTGACACTTCCTCTCCCATCTACAGACATCCTGTTCCCTAATCATACAGGTCCATTCTCTCCCAGCCCATGGACTCATGTACCACATTCTATCTACATTTTTAATATGCCAGTTTGTTGCTTCCACAATTCTCATATATTCTCACTCTCTCTCTCTCACTCTCTCTCTCTCTCCTCTCTTCTCTTTATTTACCTCTGCATACTATCTTATTTCTCTGTTTCTCTTTATAACAACCTTCCTTGAAGAAATTTTCTACACCCATTCTCCATAATATATCCCACCTCATTCTCTAAGCCTCCTCTTATCAGGGTTTGGCATCTCATCAGTTACCAATAACCTCCAAGTTACTAAACCATAATCAATCTGTAGTTATTGCTTTATTTGACCTTTTGTCATAGATGTTCATTACCCCTTGCCTCTAATTGATCCTCTTCTCTCTTCTTTGCTTGTTCCTCTTCATCTTCCTAACCTTTAAATGTTGGGATACCCCAGAGATTATAGTACATCTTCTTCCTGTCTCAACCCTCTGTACTCACTCCCTTGGTAATCTCATTCATGGTTGAAGCTTGAAATACTATCCATATGCTATTGACAGCAACTCCTTCTTTTTAGCCATTCAAGCCCCAAACTCTAGAATCTTACCTGTCTTCTTGCTTTCTCATAAAACCTACCTCAAATCCAACAACAAATCCTAGTGGCTTTATCTTAAGAACAAAGAAGTTCCACTGAGCTATTGCATAGTAGGGTGACTATAAATAACAATTATGTATTGTATATTTCAAAAAGTTAGAGGAAAGGATGCTGAATGTTTTAATCATAAAGAAATGATAAATGTTTAAGAAGACTGATATGTTTAACCTGATTTAAACATTACACAATGAATACATGTATCAAAATATTGCATGGTGCTCCATTAAAAATAAGAAAGCTATCATTGCATTTTATTATTAGTCCAAACTTGCATTTCTCTTGAATCTTGGCATCTCATGTTCCCAGTTTTCTTTTCTATTTGACATATTATTTCCTGTCATTGTGACAGGGTATGTGTGTGAGGAAGATATTCCCCCACACAAAGTAAGGGAAATGGAGTGATTAATGAGTCTTTTTATGCAATTTACACAGAAGCATTTGAGGAAAAGTGGAAGTAATATGGGCTTGATAATGCTTTCAATAAATTTATTTGTTCAATAAATATTTATAGTGTCCTTAGTACTGAGGATTAATTAGTGAACAAAGCAGAAAATCTCTGCCTTCATGCACCTTAAAAGATTAGGTTTCAAAAATTCATCTCTATAGGCCTAATCTTTTAAGAATAAAGTATACATTTTTTCAAGAAATATCAGTGAGGGCTGGGGCATGGCCCAAGTGGTGGAGCACTTGCCTACTAGAAAGCATATGAGACCCTGGGTTTAATCCCCAGTATGAAAGGAAGGAAGGAAGGAAGGAAGGAAAGAAGAACAGAAGGAAGGAAGGAAGGAAGAAAGGAAGGAAGGAAGGGAGGGACGGAGGGAGGGAGAGAGAAAGAAAGAAAGAGAAGGAAGGAAGGAAAGAAAGAAAGAAAGAGAGAGAGAGAAAGAAAGAAAGAAAGAAAATGGAGTTTCTCACAAGTCATGGTTTTATGCAAAGACAAACCTGTTGAGAAAAATACTGCTGACATCGTCATGGCTGATGGGTGGCTTCTTGGAGCTGGCTGCCATCCTCAGGGGCCGGAGGAAGCCATTGACCAGGATATAGAGCTGGTGCACATACTCCGACTCTGCCTCCACCATGGTGAACACAATCTGGTTTCTCTTCCTCATACTTTCAGCATGAGGAGAACAAATGTAGTCCTGCACAATGGTCTTCCACTTCCTTCTACACAGCCATCCTCGCATGAAGCTCTGAACCTACAGAACAAAAAAACAGAAAGCAATCTCAGGGAGGTGTGCGACTGGCTTCCTTGACCCTGCCAGTATGTGCAGCCATCCTGTGCCATATATGGCACTGCTTTTTCCTGGGTATGTGAAGGGTTCCACCAGTATAGTAAATAACGACAGCCTTTCTTCAAAAAGCGAGAAAAAAAATGGTTTAAAAAGTAATATTTTTCTCAGGTTAACAAGTTTCTTCCATGACTAATGTCTTTAAGTCTGTCTGTTTGGACTCCAGCATATAATATTACATGTTATGTTTTTGACAGTATTGGGATTTGAACTCAGGGTCCAGCATTATTTCTATCTTGTAGAAAAAGGATAAGCTTGATCTGAAATCCCTAGATATAATGTCAAAAGTAGTAGGCAAATCTGAGAATGTATACTGGCCTGCATATTTAGCCAATCAACAGACACTGAATATCTTTTAAATGTCCAAGTAAATGTGGGATACTGAGCAGACAGAAACACATCCTAATCCTTAACTGTAAGGCTGTGCCACTAACCGTCTGGGCATCCTTGAGAATGAGCCTCTGATCCTCGTGAACTCTGATCCCCCAAATAAAAAGTCTTCTCTAATTATAAAAATCAATGATAGCTAAGATTTGCTATTTTAGATGTGGCAGATTCAGCAAGAGAGCAAGTTGTAAATTCACAGATAATTGAAAGTACTGATTCACTGCCAAATATTTTAGTATCATTGTTGTCTATTCAAGACTTCCTTATATTTTTAAATTTCTTCCACACTGTTTTATCCACATGGTCCAAATTACAATGCATTTAAACATCTACCCTTCCTTCACAGTGTTTAAAATTGTTTCATTTACCTACTGATGTTAATATCATACTGCCAATTTTCATATGGGCATTAAAATTACTATACTTCAAATAACAAAAATTCAGCACGTTTTAACAGAATTATATGAGGAAATTATATGCATAGTATGTTGGGACATCTAATGGAAATTTTCTGGGAATTATAACTAATTTTAAGTTGTGGTCTCTGGAAGTAAAAATAAAAACAAAATTATTTTCCAAGATCAGAATAGAGAAGTGACTCATTTATAAACATCTTTTTCTATAGACATTAGATTGATTTGAGACATAAAGGAAGATAAAGTTAATTTTAAAACCTATTTAGCAATTTCAAAAACAGATTTAAAAATTACTTCTAGTAAGAATGAAAAAGGTAGAAAAATATAAAAAATTTATTTATCATAATTCTTCCATTTAATAGAAGCAATTATAAGATCAACTGAATTGAATTTTGTGTCAAGTAAAACCTTTCTATTCATTTGGAGAGGTGTTCTTTGCTGAACAATAGCTGGCTCACTTATTTTCTAATAGACAAGCTTGTATAACAAAACTGGATTGGATTGGATTTTATTAATATCTTTGTTTACATGCAATTGCATGCTATTAAAAGAAAAGCAATAGAATTAATCTTATAACACAATAACATAAGCCAGATTCAAATAAAAAAATTAAATGCTAAGAAAAGAGTAGAATCATTTTGTTTATTGTTTATTGTTTATTGGCACAGGGGGTTGAACCCAGGGCTCACAGTTGCTAGGTGAGTGGTCTACCACTTAAGTCTTGTGCCCAGTACTTTTGCTTTTAGTTTCTGAGATTCAGTCTCTTGCTAACTTTCCCTAGGCAGGCCTCAGACAGTGATACTCCTACCTCTTCCTCCCTGGTAGCTGGAACCAAAGGCCTGTACCACCATGCCTGACTGTTTTTGAGATAGGGTCTTGATAACTTTTGCCTGGACTGGCCTCAAACTTTGATCCTCCTGTCACTACCTCCCAGGTAGCTGGGATGATAGGTGTGCCTGGTTTACTTTTTTATTTCTTGAAAACTGCAAACATTCAACTTAGCCCCAAAAATCATTTCTATTCCAAATTCTGAGCAATACTTGGTTGAAGTTTTGTACACTTAAAATAAATATTTAACATAAGAAAGCAAGAGTAAGAAAACATTAAGAAGAAATAAAGATTTAAAGATGCATATCCAGGAAAAGTGCTTAAAATAGGAAGCTTTCTGCATAATATTAACAAAATTGAGTGTTTTACATGGGACAACTAAGAGCATGGAATCAAAGCCTTGATGACATAAGTCAAAAGACAGTGGATTGGAATGAGTGCCAGGTCTGGTTCCTTGCAAAAGTTGTATAATTGCAAATGACAGTAAGATGGAGAGATCTGCTGCTTATGTGGATGTTAAACAAAAGACAAAATAATAAAACAAATCTGAGAATATGAATTGATTTACTCTATCTTCTCACATGTCCAAAAAAAAGCTTCTCTAGATAGCACTAAAGACTAAGAGAAATATTTAAAAATGTAATTTCTAAAAATTCCCCCCAAATATGAGAATAGCACAAAATCAGAAGGTTCAACATTTCTTTAATCCAAGTAGAGAACCCTATAGCCTTAATGTCCAGTTTTGGCATTCTTCCCAGAGGCTCCAAAAGAGGATTTTCACAACTGGAAAGAAATCTCAAGCTGAAATTCTCCAGAGCTGCCATGACTGTATCACTGGGAAGGGTAAGTCTGGGAGCCATTAGCACAGAAACACCAAGGCAATTCCCAGCCCAGGGGCACAGTGACAAAAATGTTTCCACAAAACAGACAACTGGTCACCGTGCTCCCACAGAGCCAGAACCCTCCAATGTCCTACCTTCTTAATCTTCTTTATGTCTGGATCCTCATCTTCCTGGTTGCTTTGGTAAGGGCGCATTCGTTCCTTAGTTTTATTAAGAGCGATAATCTATAACACAAAATTGGTCCTTGTCATGATTTGGGGAATAGAGGGGTTCAGCCATGGCTGAACTGAGCTCCTCAGGAACCTTTGCATTTTAGGCATCCTCTCCTCCTTTAGAACTTGGGTGGAGGGAATTTGATACTTACCCCAAGCTTGGTGTTATTAGTGCTGACAAGAAGTGATACAGAAAACGTGAACCAAGGTCTGCGTTAGAAGAAATGTCAGTCCAAAACTTGACCTGTCTCCTCAGGACCTCAGTGCCATGCCTGCCATCTTGCCTGAAGGCAGCTGTGCTCTGCTCTTCAAACACAGGGACACTTAGCTCAAAGCTCTTATTTCCCATAATCAGTCTGAGGCCTTCCAAGAGTACATGTACAGCAATAATAGATCTCCTTGGAAAAATGGTAGCTACAAAGGGAATCTCAGAAACCTAGGTTGGTCTATGTTGGCCAAAAGTATTCCTCAAAAGAGGTAAAATGAGATTGTAATGACCTGGGATCTCTCCATAAATCTCCAGCCAAGTGACTTGTGAGAGACAGTTCAAGTCAAGGCAGCCTGTCAACTACACATACTCAATGTATACAATAAAATATTCTAGACTACCTGTCAGCTGCAGGCTCCAACAAGTGCAAGAATTTGTACAAATTCACTAACAAGCAAGCACTTAGAAGGTTAGGAGACCTCTAACCTGTCTTTGTATCTTGTCCCCAATACCCAATATATTTCTCTGCCATTTTCTGGCAGGGAAGTAGGAAAAGAAAAGGAGTAGGAAATAAATTGTGGCTCCCATCAGCAGCCAAAGAAGACACACCTGCTCCTGACAGTTTTAAGCTGCATTCTGTATTCATATTACACTAGAATGTAGTGAAGACAGATCAGCTTACACAAATAAATATTAGGGAACATCCGTGGTACTGAGTTTCTCTCATGGAGTAAATACCAGCCTGCTTCACTCTGCAGACAAGCATCTGCTCTAGCTTACTGAGGCAAAGAAAGAACACAGTAATTTTGTTTTAAATTACAGCGCCTGATATAGTCTTTTAAAATGCAGGTTTGTTCAGTTTTCTGTTGCTGTTTTCAATGTATCAGATATCTGGGTCAAACAGGGAACTTGACAATTCTAATGACACAGTGCACACAGCTGGCAGCTTAACATCCCCAGAGGAGCTACCTCATCCCAGTCCTAATCAGCTTGTACCATACTCTGTACATGGGAGGTGATGAATCCAGGGAGCAGGAGATAAAAACCGCTCACGTATTCCCAGCAAATCTCAGGAGAGATTGTGAGAAGACAAGGAAGAAAATGTTGCCCAATGACAGTAACAATCATAAGAAAGTTGCCATGGCTAAGGAGTCTGAACTGTCTCTGTCAACAGAATACAATGAGCAATAGTGGGTTTCTTTCTGCCCTGTTGCCTTCTTTGAATCTATGAGATACTAATGCATGTCTGGTTAGGATAAGGGAGAAAAATCTCACTCTTGACATTTCTCTTCCATTCTTCAGTTATCACTCACTTCCCATGAGGACAGCAAGGAAAGATACAGTCGGATTTTTCTGCATAGGTGGAGACCTGGGGCAGAGTGAGGACCCAGGCATAGTGCCATGGCTGCGGACTCCTTGAGCACTTTCTGCTCTCCCACTCTTGGGTGTAGGGCCTGAGAAAGGGAAGCTCAGAGAAGAGGCATGGGAAAGGCAGGCAGGAATTCCAACTTCAGGGGAAAAAAATGCTCCCAGGCCAATATTGTATAGTTTAACCCAAATGTGCTTTTCAAAATGCTGGAAGGGAACAGGTTAGATTCCTTAGGTTTTGAAAAAGTATAGAATTTCTGAATTAATTTCTAAGACTTCCTTAATTGTCATTTAGGAATGTAATTGACTCTAGAGCAGACTTACAATTATTACTTCAAGAGTCAATTGAAAACTGTTAAATATTACAGACGGCTGCTGAATTTCCTGTCTAATGAAGGACATTAGGAGCACAAATAACCAAAAAAACATGATATATTATCCTGGTATGCCCCTGTAACACATTTCCCTAACCCAAATGTAGACAAAAGATTCATGTCTAGGTTGGTAGCTCAGCCATGTATGTGTCGATGGCAGAGGAACTCAGCCTGAGATTAAAATTTTGGCCCTTGATATGCCATAGATAATCATGAAGAGATGACGGCAGATGGGAAACAGTGAGCAGTAATTTTTGACTCAGAAATACCTCTGATTTAAGCCTTTCGATTTCTGTATCTTGATCTTCAAGTTGATGCCGAAGTTGGTTTGCTGCGATTTTTTCTGTCTCTACGATCTGAACTAGATGAATGTATTTCTGCATTAATACTTCTCTCTCAATCGAAATGTCTGCATAACTTAAGAGAAAATGACACAGTCAGTTATTGAAACCTTGTTCCACTGCAGTTCCACACAGAGCAGCATATATTGCATTTCGAAAGGCACCCGTGAACATAGCTTGTCTAGCTAACCCTACCTTACATCAACATTAACCTTCAGTTTATGTTTGGTGCCGTTCAAGGATATAGAATTTGAATCACTATCATTTTAATATTCTTTGGTAAGAATTCATTTAATGCCTCCCACAATTCTATCATTTAGTGAGAAAAATGCAAAGGCAGTCTGAATAACTTTTAAGAAAGTAGTGTGTCTCCTTTAACAAAGAAATTGAAGCCTTTTGAATTGATGGCACATGGTTTCCAGGATACTATTCAAAATATTTCAGTAGGTAAGGTGGTAGCAGTCAAAATAGACCTGCCACCAAACAGAATGAATGCAGCAACCATGAGAAGGAGCACCAGTAAGAAAAAGCTGCCATGACTATCCTAGTGACTGCTAGCTCTGTAGTTTTCTTCATGACCGCAAAATCATTCACTCCTCTCTTTCTAAAACCAACAGGAGCAACACACATTCTTCAAGTAAGCTAAATTATTTGGGCCTAACTCCAGCAGCCCAACCTGTGCTCATTTCTTTGGCTAAGCGTGGTAAGGATAAAACTCACTCTTCAGCTTTTATTGACAATGTAATTCTGGAATATCTGAAACCTTTCTACCAGATTTTCTGACACTATTTAAGGTGGTAAAATGCAAATTCTTTATACAAATAGTCCTTCCCAAATGATATGATAAATAGAATATTTTTTGGCAATACCAAGGTTTGAACTTGAACTTGAACTTGCACTTGTACTTGCTAGGCAAAACCTCTAACACTTGATCCACATCTCCAGCCTTATAATAGTAATAACAATTAGTGAGAGTTATTATATAATTATGACCCTATGCCTCAGTGCATTATCTCATTTTATCCTCCCAGCAACGTAGGAGATGAGATTTATGAGCCCAATTGCACAGAGAAAGAATTTAATCCTGCTGGATTACATAGTGGTCTCAGGTCACACAGCTAGTAGGCAGCAAGGTTAGGAATCAAACCAAGGTCTGCCTGATTTCTTAGCCACAAATAAACGTCTCTTAGAGGAGAAAAAGCATCAGACTGTTTTGAGATATCAGCCCAAACAACTTCCAGCTACTTACTTCTTCTTCGGGAATTTGAGCCACAGAAGTCATGCTTATACCACAAAACCTACCCTCATGATCACATTAAACCAGCCTAAAATGAGATACCTGGCCCAACCTAACCCAAATAGATTCCTTCTTCTCACAATCTGGAGCTGAGCCTCTGCCCTCTTTCCTTGAACTGGGTTGATATGAACCTGGAAACTCGGGTTGTCATCGTGGGACAGCTTATTTGGCCACATGCATGCCAAAGCAATTAAAGCAAGTCTATTGAGGAAAAAAAAACTAGGCAGATAATCAGAAAGGCAAACACAGGTCAGACAGAAAGTCTGAAACAGGAAAGAAATGGCTGCTTGTGTTCCTACAGGATTTCTAGGTTCAGTTTTAGACACTTTGACATATGAATACAATTTTATCTTGGGGTTCGATAAGATAATTGCAATTTTCCTTCTAATAAATTCTCTTTCTAACCTATGCTACTTAGAAATAGTTTTATGTTATTTAGAAACAAACAAAAATCTTGTAGTAATTCCAAAATCACAAATTTAGTTCAGTTATCTCAGCACCCTCAGCACTTACATCTCATACGTGCTATTAGTGTTACAGAAGAACATAGAACAGCAACAGTTTTAAGTCACTTGTTCTAAGAAATTACTCTAAGTAGAAAGGAGGGCCTTGAAAGTATAAGTGAGAGGAGGGTGAAAGAAGAAGAAGAAAAAGAGGCAGAATCTTCTAGACAGATATTGATGAGAGACCTTCTTCAGTTTCTATTTATCATGGACCTCTGAACAGAGCAGCTCACAGCTGGTAGCTGGCCTTCCTCCAAGAAAACAGCAAGACAGTAAGAGAAGGAAAGTGAGATGGAACCCAGTGTCTTCTTGTGAACTAATCTTGGGAGTGCCATTTATCACTTTGCTGTCTTTTATAATAAATGCATACTTTTTACACCTCTGAGTTTGTGGTAATCTATTTCACAATAGAAAAGTAATCCAGCATATTTCACTCCTAGGCTCTCTTGATACCTTTCCTTTTTTGGTTCTTCTTTGTATCTGCAGTGGATGTCTGGAGTAAATCCAAACTCTGTTCTCTGAGTGTATCTAGGAACTGCTCAAAGCACTGGGCACAGGAAATAAATGAAATAGAAAAATGAAACAAACAAATAAACAAAACTTGATACCCTCAAGGAGCTTATGTAGTAGTATAAAGAGAGAGATAAAACTTATAAAAATATGAAGTATGTCACCTGATGGTTAGTATTGAAGTAGAAAAAAGGTGGGAGCAGAATAGGAAGTGGGAGGATGGGGCTACAGGAATTTTAGTCCAGGTGTAAGAGAGGGTCCCAATGAGAAGAAAATAGTAAAGTGATGGCCTGAAGAAGTGAACCCTGGGCTGGCTGGTGCAAGAGTACTCTAGGTAGGGGGAATCACAAGTGAAAAACCCTAGTGGTGGAAATGAGTCTAGCCTGGCTGAAAAAATGACAAGGTAGTAGGTTTCCTAAAGAGGAAAGTAGAGGAGTCAGCATAGGGAACAGAATTCTAAAGCATGTAGACCAATATGGAGTCTCAGGTCCTGCCACCTCTCACCCCCATATGAGATTTGTGATGAAAAGTGTGATACAAGTACCTTTTTAACAAGGTCATTTTGGTTATTTGATGGAAAAGACAGAGGTGAGGAGTAGAGCATACAAAGAGAAGACAGGACAGTTGGAGACTACACTGCAATAATCCAGGCAAAAATGTTAAACAGTAGGCTGGGGTATAGCTCCGTGGTAGAGAACTTGCCTAGAATGAACAAGGCCTTACGTTCAATCCCTAACATTGCAAAGAGAAAAAAATAATTAACACTAGTCCAAAATTTGGCATTAGACCTGGCACAGAATAGTTATTCAAGTAAAGAGTCACTGTCAAATGAAAAATCATCTGATAAGATTTATTTTGCATGGCTTATCCATTACATAATGATTTTCAAGTCATGCAACTTATTTCATTGGGACTCTTTTGCTCTACCCTTACTGGGGTGACCCTTCAACTTAAGATCACAAACCTTTCTTTACACATCCCACTTAGTAAATGAATGTACTCTTATGCTAAATCAACTATTCATTGATGGCTTCCTGTTAATATTTTTCTGAGCACTAGTATTTCTTTTCTATTGTATTTCCAAAACGTGTTTTGACTGAATTTTCCATACTGATACTGTTTAAGAAATGCTGCTTATTTTTCCATTTTTTATTTTTTAATTTTTTGCTTTTAAATTCAATCTCCAGCAAAAAGGAAGGAAGATGAAGGGGAGAAAAAGGTGGAAGAGGAAAAGAAAGGAGGTTAGAAGGAAGACTAAAATAAAGAGGAGGTGAGGGTAGTTTCTCATTGCCAAAAGAAATAATAAAATCAAGCCATATAAATCAACATAATGAAAGCAAACCTCAAATCCATCTGTTGAGTACTGACATATGGCAAGATTGGGATATACATGGGAATAAAATGGTGGTGTGTAATATTTATAATCAAAACTATACCACCATCACCACTCCATAAGAAAGGGAAACCTTCAAATAAAATCATAGAGTCCAGAGAAGAGGCACAGTGTGAAATTATAATCCTTAATTATTTTTACAGAAGGGCAAGTTATATTAGCTTAGAAAGAAGTTTTCAGGTAAGCCAGAATCTCATTCCCAATTATTTTGATTGAACACATACTTATGAAATGAACTATAGCAAAATCCAAGATGAAAAGTCATACAAAAGGTCACAAGAGAAAAACTCCAACCCCAAACTCTAGGTATGCTAAATTTTACTGAGAAAACTGTTGGGAACCAACATTCTTCATGTTCAGAGACTCCTCCTGTCTTTGGATGAGGACAGTCCAGTCCTGGACGACAGTAGTACAGTGCCCACCTAAGCAACCTTCAGGCGCTGGGAGTGGCAGCCTTCTCTAAGCAGGGCCAGGCCTCCTGCTAGACTGTGGACCTTGAATGTTCCCCAGAGGCCTATGTATTGAAGACTTAGTTCCCAACATGGTGCAGTTGGGAGGTAGTGGAACCCTTAAGAGGTGGGGCCGAGTGGGGGATTTTTAAGTCATTGAGGGCATGCCTTTGAAAGAAGCCTAGCCTCTCCTCGCTCTCTTTATCACCTGGCCGTGAGATGGGAGGTTTTGCTGTACCACGCACTCCTTCCACAGAGTGCCGCCTCATGAGAGGGCCAAAGCGACATGGTCAACTGATCACGGGCTGCAACATCCAAAGGTATATTGGTGAGCCAGAACATACCTTTTCTCTTTGTAAGTTAATTGTTTCGGGTATTTGTTATAGTGACACAAAGCTGGCTAACACATCTCCTTGGCTTTGCTCATGGCCACTTGGCATTACTGTACTACCTTTTATGTTCTCTGGTTCCCAAATTCTCTCACATCAGTATCTCCACTTCACTGGCTAATCAACACTTTACAGGTATCCCATTAACATGAAGTCTTTTAGCCCTCTCATCCCCTCCAATATTCCTCTGGCAGGCTCTCCTTTCCTTAGCCGTTCTCTTTTTAGTCATAAGAAGCTCAAATGTCTCAGTTAAGAGAACCAAAAAAGGAACAAATGTAAGGATTAATCCCCTCTTCCAAACACTGTTCCTTCTTTCCAGTTCACAGTTAAATTCATTGCTTAAACAGCTGACTAACTTTGGGACTGTGGAAAGTTAACACTAATCCTTTCTAAAAAACAGGCAAAATGTTGTTACAGGAAATATAACAAAGTCAACAACAGTAAAATTACTACTTTGTGACAGAAATTTTAGAGAATGCTTCTGAAAGTGAATATATTTCATAGTTTGATTTCTGCTACAAACACTCTGTGCACA